AAGGGCATCTTCGAAGGAGGTTATGCAAAAGATGTCAGCTACTGCAGATGACTAGAAAAAGAGAGAAAACGAAAATAAAATATTTAAGATATAATGAATGGTTTACGCAAGTGGCTTGTCACTTGCCAAGTCCAATCAAGATTTTTCAAGAATTACCAGAGAAACCARAGAAAAGCTCAAAGCACAGGAGAAAACAGTATAACATGCACCTCTACTCACATATAACGCTGAGTTCAAGAAAATTCTTAAAAATTACCTTCATAACATTAATTTACAGTAGTGATCACTTCTTGGTTCACTAGTGCACAACAATAGGACGTTTGCACGATGGCGTCATTGACCTCTACTACTAGACTCCCTTGCACACTTGTCTTACTATTCTCATGAGGGAATATAAGTTTAAATAAGAAAGAATATTGGCAAAGCATCTTGGTAGTGGGAGTCAAATGAGCCCATCATGCAAACATTCTATTGCAGGGTACTACTGCTTGTCACTGTGATGTGTATTAATGTCTGTGTGTGTGCAGGGGGGGAGGTGGTGGGTATTATAGGATGGACTTTTGCTGTTCCTAACTTAATGCCAATGACTATATATATATTTTTTTTTTTTCACATTGCTAATTTTTATTCATCAATCAGGCACTAGAAAACAGAACAAAGGAGTCAAAACARGAAATGGATATTCTGGAAAAGCTAGAAGAACTGAAGGATTTGAACACACGACAAGCAGAAGGTATAAGAATGAATAAATGCATTACACTTATGCTTGTTTACTTATCCTCTTTGCCAGCATGTATAAATTAAGTAACTGTCCTATTTAGTCTAAAAGGTGTTCTTCACTTTTTTAGTGGACTATGAAAAAATGTTGGAACTTTACAGTCAATATGAAAAGGARGTGAAGGAAAAGGAAGAAAAAGAAGATGAGGACCTGGTTAAGTAAGAATTGAAACAAAAAATGAGAAAATGATATGTACAACAGTTTATATGCATGCTGAATGCACACAGCCACTCAATCAATCAGTCAACTTTGTTTATGGCAGATAAAACTTGACAGTAATTTATTTGATAAAATGTCCGACAGGGACTCGAACCATGAACATGACTCTACAAACTGATGCTCTTAATGAATGAGCTAACCACTTTGGTCATTCAAGCCATAGCAAAGGTCTAACCATTTGCAGATATTTTCAGAGCAAATAGGCAGCACTCAGATTAGTCGTCTATGTAGCCACTATAAGACTAGTGTCATCCCCAGATATATTCTTTGGGGAATTTTTGTATGGTCATGGCTTTACGACTGTGAAATGCATTTGCAGGTCAATWTTTGGTTCAAATAAAATCCAAAGGAGACTAGATGACAGCGACAGTGATGACAGCAGTGAAGGAAGTCAAGAGAAGTTAGTGAAATCTAGTAAGCAAACAGAAACTGGAAAGAAAAGAGCTACAGATGTATTGACTAAGGTATTTGGACATAATTTCTGCTATGACATGCAACAATCTACATTTAATAATTCAGCCTAAAAGGAATAAAAAGAATAAGGAAGGGAGAGGAAAGGAATAGAAAGGAGAGAAGAGGAGTGGAGAGGGAAAGGGAAGGAAAGGAAAGGGAAGGGAAGGAAAGAAAAGAAAAGGAAAAGGAAAGGAAAGGAAGAAAGGGAAGAGAAAATGTCTAAAAGAAGAAAGGACTAAAAGAAAAATGAAAAGGAAAAATGAAAGAAAAAATGAAGAAAACAAAGCTACATCGTATGAATATTTTTGAATTGATTGGATTTCTTTCTCTTTGATTCTATTTTAAGTTTCTTTCCCCTCAAGGAAATCATAGAAATAAATTTAAATCACTAAGAATAAATTTCTTACACCTACAGGATTCTGAATCAGAACCTCCCAGTAAAAAAGCAAACGTTTGGGATAAAGGTATTGGAAAGCTGGGAAGCAAAGACTTACTAGGATCTCTCGTTATAGTAAGAAAAACCAAGAACAATGATAATGAGATAAAGACAGATAAAATGAAGGAAACATCTTCATCAGGGACTTTATCTAATGATAACGTACAAAGCAGTTCATCTTCGAGTGAGGAAAAAGAGTCACATACTGAAGTTGATAATAATGGTGGTTCTCTTGGACTTTTGGGAAGTTATGGGAGCAGCAGTGATTCTGAATAGAACGGGTCTAAATCAGAGTGCACACCATATATTCATAAAACGAAAAACAAAGATGTATTGTCTAATTCCAGCTATTTGTTTGCCATCTCACATAAAAAAGTAGATGTTACTAGAGCAGAACATTGGGAACAAAAACAAACACCTCTATACATTATTTGTTGTTTGGTTCATGCCTGAGTGAATTCTTAGCTATTTCACAACTAAATAGTCGCATAACTAATGCTTTTAAGTGCTACATGGCTAGTAATTGTTTCAGGAATATATAGTGTGCCATCTAATAATGGAAAAATTTACACCCCAAGCCAAAAGGGTTATGGTTGTCCTTATTAACACCATAATCTTGTTACTTCCAAGTAGTCGTAAACAACATTTGAATAAGAAAAAGAATTTAAAGAGGATTCTCAGTGGTAGTAATGGTTTCAAGACATATTATAACAGGGTTCGTGCTACTCCTTGAATTCCTTGAAAAGTCCTGGAATTCAAAAACCATTTTTAAGTGCACTTGAAAAGCCCTTGAAAATAACAAAGTTGCTGGATACTCCTGGAATACTCCTTGAAAATGCAACGGTTACTTATATATCATGATCATCTACTGTAACTTAATTTTTGTCGAAAATTCATTTATTACTTTTAAGGAAATAATAATAACCTTATTCACTTAAAAGTGAATAAGGTTGTTGACTTATATGCTTTTTTCCATTATTTTACGACGGTGATATATGGAGCCTGAAAATAACGTATTGTATCTATGCATTGTTAAGAAGAAATTCACAAACAAAATTGATTCTTGATAATCATAATTTTGGACCTTGAAAAGTCCTTAAAAAGTCCTTGAATTTTGTGTCAGAGACGTAGCACGAACGCTGTAATAAGAATGTATAATATATATTCTGGGGGTAGGGGTATGGATATTTTCTGAAACTACACAATTTATTTTTACCACAGTTCAGCCAGAAACTAGGTAGTACATGTACAGTGCTTCATTCAAGAAAATCACATTTTATTAAACTGTCATTACATAATTGATTATTTCATGGCTACTACATTTTATGACTAACGAAGTTAGTTCTTATTTTATAAACTTTAACTTTGACCTGTGTAATATAGTCTTTTATAAAATAACTTTAGTGGRAGCCACATATCTAATAACACTCTAATACTATTGATGGTTTTCAATCATTCCCAAGAGAATTAAATAACAAAAGACGTGGCAGCCATGTTGGAGGATATAACAAAAGAATTCATTGACAATTCTTTTGTTAAGTTCCTCCAACATGGCCGCCRTGAAAACCATCAATACCATCTTAATTTTCATTAATCAAAAAAAGAACTCCTTGTCAGATCTGTGTTAGTTGTGGTCAAAGAATAATGTTGTTCAGGTTTTGCATATTATATATACAACTTTTTTACATCTTTGTTGTCGTGATAACTACATTGTAGGAGAAGAGGTTAAAAGGCATAATACTATAAAGGAGTTAAGGAATATTACTACTAACAGAGTCTTAGTACAGTTACATGTAAAATTAACTTAAGACAGGATGTGAGGAAGAGCATGGCAGTGACTGAGTCATGGGTGCGAGTCAGTGTATCTCAGAAATGTACTGGATGCTGGTGATCCTGGCCTGTATGCCTGCAGATGGGAACATTGGCTAAAAAGTTAGTCAATGCCATCTATTGGCTAATCATTGACCGACAGATGGTCAATGGATGAAGAACATCCAACTGATGATCAAACAACAGTCTGCTGAATGTTGATCATCATATAAATCTGGTCATAAAGTATGAAATGACATGTACCCTGCTATGCTTAGATCAAATGTGTCGTAGTAGATAATTTTATCACCATAGGTACAAAAGATAGTAGACTACCTACGGCGATAAAATTAAAATTTGATTTAACTAAAAAACACCAACGCAGTCCAAACTAGTTCCAAAAATTAGTCATCATCTGTTATGCTTGGACTTGAGTTGCAAAACTAAAGTGAAACAAGCTTATAGAKTGCTTTTCATGTCTCAATACAACTAGACAGCTCCAGGTATAGCACTTTTTCTCAAGTTTTGCCAGAAGATCATAGTAATGTGAAAAGCACTCCAAACATAACTATGATCAGTTAGGTTTCTATTTTTGTTATATATAATTATTAACAATTAAGAATTTCCTGACGCATTACTACTATTACTGCTACTGTTACCATTAGTGGCTGACACAGCTCTCCATAGTCCATAAGTAGTGCCGACAGTGTTTTGCCACAGTCTTAACGTCCCATCTTCAGATCCTGATGCATAAAGTTCTCCATCAGGAGAAAACCGGACACAGTGAACTGGCCCAAAGTGACCCTTGTAGGATTCTATATAGCACAAAAAGAGAAAGCATTTATTTTTGTGAAAAAAAGTCCACAGTTTTCCTTGGCATAATGTTTTCCCATTTCATTTCACATGTCATTCTCTCAATAATAAGATGTTTGAGTTTAATTATTCATATTCATGTGTCWTCTCATGTGCAGTCATTAAACAACGAACTTGAGGGAATGACATATGGTCTATATAACCCCACCCCAAGCTAAATTCCTTGCTAGGGATTAAGGATTCTGAAAAAGATAATAATTCCTTTGTTTTTGACCCCAACCTAGAAACTTTGAAGAAAGGATTACGTAGAGGCTTGTATCTTAAAGTTGTGCTAAACGACTCTTGGAATTGTGTGAACAGGTCATGGTTGTGCGAACGGGTTTGTGCTAAAAGGCATGTCCACACGGTTTATTCTTTTTAAAAAAATGCATTTTTGAAAAAACATGGAAAGCTTCCCAACCACTGTCGCTAGTGTTTCCCTGCTAGTAGAGTCTCCCTCATTGACGATTCTTGGCATTTTCTCTGTCAAGAATTGCCAATGAGGGATAAGCATCAAAAACACAGATACAGTAAAAGTGTGAAAGACAGACATGCTGGTATGAATGACGTCAGCATTTTCTAAAGCTTCCTTTTCATAACTGTTCAATTTAATTTGATAGGCCTTTGTTTTCAAATGTATCAAATCTGGATAGAATTTTCAAATTTATGCATGCATTTTGAATCAATGGATCATTTAGCRTGGATGCAATGCCAAAATGCAAACAAAGTATGCATTTTCAAACAAAAAGTTGGGCCCTTGAATTTCAAATCTTGTACGCCATAGATTCCAATGAGGGCTACATATTTATTGAGCATTAGATTTATAAAAAAACTTACCTAATTCATTGCCATTYTCGTAGTCAAACTTATAAAGTTTAAAGTCCTCTCCACCAACCACATAACAGGATTTGTTAGGATGAAGTGAGGCTGAGAAAACTTGGGTTGGTGTATCGAATGATTTAATCAGATCCATACTGCAAAGGAAACATAAGGTTATGACATTGAGAAAAAAATCATTATAGACCATTTTCGAGTTCCAAATTACCACTGTGTTCCTTGAATGATTATAGACGCATTTGCTCAGTGTTAGCCTTGAATCAATTATTATGCAAACTCAGTAGTTGTGAAGTGCCTGCTGAAATTTAGTTTTTAAAGTCAAAAATGTAAAACGTACCAACTGATTACTTTTGGTTGATGGAAGCGTCAGTTAAACCAAATTTCATTAATACTGAAAACCTCTATATACTGTAATAATCCAAATATATATTCTCTGCATACCTGTGTGCATTCCAAAAAGAGACAGTTTTGCCATAGGTCAAAAGAAGAATATTGCCATCGGCGCTCAGTTCCATACTAGTAATAGCATGCTGTAGTTCAACATTTTTTGTGTTTTCTAATGCACGGATATCCCAAACTCTGAAAAAAGGATCMAAAGGAAAATTGGTTGTCAAGATAAATTATTATGTATTTACAGTTATAAGATTTATTGGGGAATTTTTAATTTTGCTTTGTGTAAACTTGAAA